ACTGATGAGATGGGGGCGCCCCAGGGAGCTGTGGTGATGTCTAGAGACAGTTTTGGTGATCACACCTGGAAGATGAGGGCGAGGGGGTCAGCGTGCTACTGGCACGTAGTGGGCTGAGGCCAGGGAGGCTGCTACACACCCTACAGCACCCAGGGGAGCCCCCAACCCATCCATATCCATCCCCAAAGTCCATGTGACCAGCTGTATCTCATTCCAGGTGTAGAACACAGTCTGGTGTGGTGGATGGGCACTGGCCCTCCACCACCACCACCCGTAGATGAGTTTGCTGAAGGAGGGGGAGTTAGCATAGTGTGAGGCTCTAGGAAATGCCAGCGCCCACCTGCCCTCCGTAGGGTGTCCAGAGGGAGCCTCTCCCCAAGTCACCTGCTCACACCCTGCCTGCAGCACTACACTGTGAAGCTGAACACGGTTCCCCACTTCCTGCCAGTGACCCCGAATCCTATTGCCAGGAACATTTGTGCACAGGTTTTTGTGGGATTTGTGTTGCCGGTTTTCTTGGGCACTTTTCTGGAATAGCTTTTGACGAATTGCCAGGGCTTCCCCGACCTCTTTTTGGATTCGGCATGGAGCTGAAAACTTCAGTCAGTCCTCAAGTTTCACAGCAGCAGGACTGCTTCCTTCCTGCCGTCTGAGGCAGGCCTGAGATCTTTCCAGCCGGGCACTCTGCCCTCCAGCCTGTGAGAAAGGGGTGCCAGCTCAATAAATCGCCAAGGGCACGAGAAGTCAAGCCTGGTCTGCCTGTCTCCACCCTGCCTCCTACTGGGTCGGCCTCACGTGAAAAGCTGCTCCTCCTTCTGGTCGCCGGATGGGTGATGGTTTCTGGGGCTCCCTCGACCCCCCAGGAGACCTGTCCAGTGAGGCAGGAAGCGGCTTCTGGATGCAGGCGTGGGGAGTTTGCTGTCCCAGATCTCCCAGCATGCCTCTTCCATTCACGGGCCCACAGTGGCCATGTGCTCATAGTTATGGTGGCCCCGAGTGACAGAGGAGAGCGATCCCCAAGGGTTTCCTAGGCTGTCAATCTTAAGGAGCGGATCGCCAAGTCGTTCTCTTGGAGAGCCGCTGGGTGGGTTTGAACCACCGACCTCATTGTTAGCAGCCAGGACGTACCTGTTGCACCAGCAGGACTCCTCAGTTGCTGCACATTAGGCCCCTAAAGTCCCTGAGTGGCGCACATGGTTAAGGTCTTGACTACTCACCGAAAGACTGTGTATGCAATCCACCCAGAGGTGCTTCAAGAAAGGGCTGGTGACCTGCTGTTGATGGGTTCCAAAACCCAAACTAGTTATCTTCCCTGGAGTCCTAGCCACCCCCTGTGGGCTTCCGAGACTGTGACTGTCGACGGGAGTAGAAAGCTCAGTCTTTCTTCCTCGGAACTGCTGGTGGTTTCGAACTGCCGACCATGGGCATCGCAGCCCGATGTGTAACCACTGCACCACCAGGACTGTGATCGGTCGGATAGCTGGAAATGCTGTGCAGCAGGGCTGCTCTGCCCCCTCCGGGTCGCCCTGAGATGACTAGACAACAGCTGGTTGGGCCGGGCTGGGTGAACCCCTGTGAAGAGGCCGGAGGGGTGTCGGCTGAAGGCACAGCGGCCAAGACAAAAATGGAGTTCGTTGCCAAGAACAGGCGGATGTGCGACTTGGCGAGGCTTTGTGCCCATTTTGCAGGTGAGGGGGTTGAGGCTCCCTCAGGCAGCTCACCTCTCTCGGGCCACACAGGCTGGTCGGTGGCACAAGTGGGATTGGACTGATGTCCTGGCTCTGCCTGTCCGGACAGCCGGAGGTCACAGGCTGGGGTCAGCAGCCCCAGAGCAGCACTGGGCTTCGGGTTTTTACTTTGCTCTAAAAGCCTGCTGGTGTGGGGCAGGGAGGAGAGCACGGTTCCTATTGGATCAACCCCGATGGTCCTTTTATAGAATCGTTTCGAGCTTGGGAGTCTGGTCAGAAAGGCAGGCAAAGCCAGGAACCGCCAAGCGTGGAGGAAGGGTGAACCCCCGGTGCTGGTCTGTCTTGGCTGGCAGGTTGGCTGCATTTCTGGGGCCTGGGCACTCCAGGGGAAGGTCATTCCAGACTGCGATGGATTGGCCCAAGGCCTCCAGCAGCCACTACTGCTCCCCAATGGGAGTCTGAGGCTGTGTCTCGCCATCAGCCTGATCCCCAGGCTTGCTCTGGGGTGTCCCTGATGGTCGTCAGGCCTGTTGTCACGGGTGAACCAGCCCTGCCTGCCTTTTCACTGGACTGCGTGGGAGCCGAAGGCGTTGGCGGCACCACTGTCCATGCACGGGTTGTTCTCGGCCCTGCCTCACTCAACCGATCAGAAGAGCCCGCCAGAAGGACCCCTCCCTCAACCTGCACCCTCATGTCCAGGACCCTTG